CCGGGGGGGGGGGGGTCCGAAAGTTTATGTAGTATATAAATGTATGGTGGAATTGTATATCTTATATATGCCTACAGAAAAGTCCGCGATGGCATATGCCTATATGTTAAAGATAACATACTACCTATATCCAATTTAATACTTTAAAAAATTGGCAATTATAAAGCGGTAATGTAAAAGCTATTTACACAAATATGGTATTAATCCTTATCATTTTAAATAAGTTAGAGGATTTAAGCATTTCACGCACATTATTTTACTCTTTTACACCATATAATTTAAATAAATATCTTAGGAGTAATCACAAAAAAATTACGGACGCTAGAATAAAATTCAAGCGCCTCGCTTCGCTTGATGCGATCGCCGACCCTCCCCCCGCACCGTCTTGCCTACTGTTTAGCTAATAAGCCGAACGATAACGCGAGCGTGATCCTTTAATAAACTGACTTGGAGCGTATGGAGGTGACGACTGACGACTGTGTTTTCTTTCTGGGTATTGTTGGAAAGTTATAATTGCATTCGACATTTTAAAGTCACATTTTTGTTTTGTATTTGTTGTCTTTAGGTAGTCGGAACATACATAGATACTTGCAAACATACTTTTATTTCATTAAATTTTAATAATTTATTTGTTTTTTTCTTATTGTGAATCATTTAAAACTTCATAGTCGCATTTTTGTTTCGTGTTTGTTTTCTTTAGGTAGTTAGATACCTAACTACTTACTTATTAATTAAAATTGATAGTCCTGAACATAGGTACTTTAATTTAATTCGTTTTGTTTTCACATTGTTGGTAGTTACCTATTTGTTTTAAATTTAAAGATTTTGCATTTTTAGTTTTAAGTTCGTTTGTTGTCTGTAGGTATATAGATATATCTGAATTATTATAAAATTAATATTAGGGTCGCATTAGATGAAAGATGATTGATTTTTTGTTTGTTACGATTTAACTCAAAAACTACTCAACCAATTTTACCGAAAGCTACATCTCCTAGTAACATAGGCTATTTTATATTTGCCCGTGCGAAGCCGGGACGGGTTGCTAGTTGCTGATATAATTGATATTACTTGGTTATTTTTGGCAATATTAATAGTTAAGAATTTTGTACATGATCTTCTTCTTCTGCTTATACCTGTGGTTTGATTCTAGTCAAGTTTCATAGCACCACGGTCTTATCAAGTCTATCGTGCGTTCCATTATTCAGTCCTTTTCAGCAAGTAGTATTGTCCTTTTTACAATGTCCAAAAGCTTCCATGCTGATACTTTTCTCAGGTACTTGTTTCCTAAAATGACAGTGTATAATATAAGTCCTGTCACTTTTCTGAGACGAATTTTATCTAAGCTCAGCAATTCATTCGTTCTTTTCTGCAAACGACACTCCATAAGTTCGTCCGCATGGCTTTATACTATCCTTGAAACCCAGTATTTCCTATGTTCTTACTCAGATCACCCTGACCACACTGGGAGATGTGCCACAGAAGGGCTCCGCACCAATGAATTATGTTTCAGGTCCCTTCCTAGTAAATTCATCTGCTTTCTCATTTCTGAAGTAGTTTAATTTAAAATAATAAAAATAAGAACCATTTATTTACTTGTTTGTTATCCCTCAGATGAAAAGAAATACCGAGTTCTACCTGAGGGTCTTCATATTATAAATGTGACTCGGAATGGTGCGCAAGTTTACAAGTGTCGAGCTCACCATTTAGCGAGCGGAGCTATAATTTATAAGAATATAACACTTGACGTCCACCGTAAGTACTTTCTGTTAATTCGACATGTTTAATTTTCTTGCCTACCTATCATTATGACAAAAATAACTACTTATTTATAAAGACTTTTTGTGTTTTCAGTTATATAGTTGTACATCAAAACAATTTACATGAAGTTTCAGTAGTTAACTGTTTTAGTTCTTTACAAAATGCGGAAGCAATCCAATCATTCAAGCAATGTACTCTTTTTCTGATGAGCCCTGAGCTTCCATTAGAGGCTCCGAATCTAAAAATTGACTTCGCTAGAGTTTACAGCTTGTTTCTAGAAATGCCGAAGATGTATATCTACTACTAGTTCCATCAAACTGCAAAATTAAGTTAAGCTCAGGCTTAAAAATGTATGTTCAAACTTTGTAGTTAATACGTAGGAGATATTTAGTTTCGTTGTAGACAGAAGAATAATCCCACTTTGGTGTATTTCGAACAATAGTTAGAAACTACTAATAAACTTGTTTTATGTAGTGTGTTTTGTAACGAATGGGCCATTCTTTAATGGGAAGTTTCTTGGGCCAAAATAGGCCAATCTAATCCACCTTGCCCCAGCACAAAAGTTAATAATGCAGGGGGTCAAAAACGAGAGAAAAGTTGTTTTTCCTCAATATTTTTTGACGCATGGATCAAATTCGAAGTTTATCGTGAAGTAGTTTGCTGTATTTTATAGGAAGCGTTCGTCATACAGAGAACATAGTCACAACTTTTTTGTCCTCCCAGTATGTGGTTCCTTATGCTAAACATTGGTTCTTCATACTTTTCTACGAATAAATATTCTTAGTAGTTTTAGATAAATAAAAAATTTTATTTTGCACTGTGGTACGTTGGATTAGGCTGCCCTATTTTGGCTCCAGGAAACTCCGATTACATTACAAATTGGCCTATTCGTTAGAAAAATGTCCTGTATATTATAAAAATTCTATATGTTATCTACTCTTCCCAGTTCAATATAGCAATTTTATATTTTGCTTTGCATTGAAGTGTTGAACAGGTATAAGAAAAAAAATATAAAGAAGAAAAATCCAATTAGTCATCCATCCAATATCACAGTTCTAGATATAGATTAATTTTAGTAAAATCTATTATACGTTAAAAATAAGGTAATGTTTTATATTTTTTTAATAAAAGTTACATATTGGTAGCTACCTAGAATATTTATTTGAAACGATGAAATATATGAACGGGCACGAATCGCCCATTGTGTACTAGTTTCTATGGCAACTTTAAAAATTGCAGGGAATGAAAAGACTCAAAAGAATGCAATTCATTTCCTGATTACAAACACGCTTAAAATGAAACAATTCATTATTATTATTTTTAAATATGGCTTAAAATTCTATTTACTTTTTATTATTGAGAATTAATTTCGGAACAATTCTGCTGAATGCTCATTAGAAATTATATTATAAAGTGATAAAAGCTGGCATTACATGCATTTTTTAAATTTATACGTTTCCTAATAACGAATGTGAGGTAAGGTTTCTCTGAAGCGGCTAAATATTAAACAAAAGTTCACAGGTCTGAGAATCAATCCTGCTTGAGCAAAACTAAGAGCAGATTTAGCACATATTTACATACAGTGAGGCGAAAAATTAAGGATCTAGTTTAGAATCGAATTTTAAGCAAAAAAGTGGAATACCATTTTTATTTATCGGATTTCAGATGAAAGGTTAACAACTTTCAGAAATAAATTTAAAATTTTGCAAAGCATAACGCCAGGCCATGTAAACAAAATCATTTGATACAAAAAGAAAACAGATTATTTTACATTAAAGGTTATGTACAAACTATTTATTTTATATTATATTTATTTATATTCAAGCGTAGTTTTGAGAAGTATATGCTTCTTGCAGTAATATCTCAAAGAGCTCCATCATTTACACCACCAGTATGACGATCAGTGATTCCACACTGTCATGTCTCTGGAGGGCATCGCAAAGTATGCAAATCTGATATCTAATCGGAAATCCTTTAATAAATAGTTCTCGGCGTAAGCGCTGCTTATGTTTAGTTTTTACAACTGAGATGTGTGCCTACTGTTACTTTCTATAAAATTTGAAGGCTGTCAACTATGATAGATATTTGAAAAAACGAAGGAACAGTAGGAAAAATTTGTCAGTTTTGCTTAAAATTGGATCTAAGCCAGATCCTTCATTTTTCGCCTCCTGATATAAATCACCCTATAATGAAATAATGCCATAGTTTGGATCGGAAATTTGTGTCATCATTTAGTTGCTACAATGTCTACCATAACCTTAAACAACTAGCCCTTATTCAGGTAGTCGTTGGCATTGTTAACTCATATGAGATATGGCAAATTTGTCGTTATAAATGTTCGAAAGTCCCTAATTCCGAGGCTTCCAGTCAATTATTATTTACTCATTATATATTGTTTTGAGAAAATTCACTGAAATAAGATAAACAAAAAATATTTATGCTATGCTTTATTTTATGTCGTATTAACCGACACTTTATTGAACTATGTTATTATTATAGAGATAGGCCGGTATATATATATATATATATAGATGTATATGATAAATACGAAGAGTAAGTGATGAGACGTTTCCTTATCATCGTAATAATTATTAATAGGTAATTTAAAAAATGTGTCGTTTTCCTATTTTTGAAACAAGTTGTTGTCACAAATAATAAAATTGCGCGTCGCCAAAGAAAGATATTTCCCACCCAATTATAGGAATACGACATACAAATCTGGAATTTAACTAGCAACTAACGTCCAAGGGCAAATCCTATTCTCGCACCTTAGTTGCTAACCACATTTATTGAGTATGCATTAATTTCTTTTTTCAGATAAACCTTATCAAACCTATGCTGAGGAAAAAGTTTACGTCTTCTTAGATGAGCAAGTCAACTTAACCTGCGAGGTTGAAGCAAACCCACCTCCAATCTTTAAGTGGTATAGGAAGATGGGAAAGACAATTCAGGTTTCCGATTATATTTCCGTTCTGCAGGTAAACGAAGACGGCTCTTTGCTACCTCCTCTAGAACTACACTACAGAGAGAGTAGTTCAAGAGCTATATGATAAATTGTTTTTATTCAAATGGATCAGAATTGTCTTATGAATGGCCAAAATGGCTATAAAAATAGTAACAGTGCGGTATTTTACGCCACGGCGATTCAGAAACAATTGTATTACTGTAATAAAACAACGTCGATGCGTTTGAAAAGGTTACACGTCAACATTTTTTGAGCCACTGTGCCCAACTCTAAGTTTGTTCCTTCTTTCAACATCCAACAGGAGTTTTTTCATTGTTAATTTCTAACTTTTATACAGGGTTATTCACGCAACTGGTTCATTAGAAGGATACGAAGTTACCGTGATAGATAGGATTTTGTTGAAAATTTGAATATCCGGGTCATGAACTTTTCAATGAAACTATTTTCAAAACTGTTGCACTTCCGCTTATACCGAAAGTTGCCACAAACTTTGTTATTTTAAATGGAACACTGTATATTATTGCATTTTTGGATTCTACGTAAAATTTTAGGATCACTTTGTATAAACTTTTTCATATTTAAAATTGATCGCTTTCAAGATATTGCGATTTAAAAAAAATTGCATGCAGCACTGTTGACTTCAAAAGTATATGCCTCAGAAACAGTTCACGGGGAAATGTTTATTTTTGGGTCAATGAAAGTAGAAGTCATGGGGTTTCTTACGATATTTTCAAAATTATTATACAGGACCCTGGAAACTAATTGACAAACCTGAGGAAATTCAAACGTGTGTAAGTCATTGTTTTAAATGGAACACCCTGTATATTTTCGCATTGCTCGATTCACTAGAAATATCTACGTCAGTACGTGCAAGGATTGCTTTAGTTAATCTTAATGGTTTTTGATGTATCACCACTTTTCTGTTTAAAATGCGAAAAATTATGTTTCGTATAAGAAACTCATAGTTCCTATGAAATCAAAAGCCTATGCCTTCTCAAAGCACCAAAAAAAGACTCACTGACGTTTCTGTCTTCCTAAAAATGGATTAAGTGAATAATTATTCGAATAGTGATATTTTAATCTTATTCTTTGTTCATGGCAAATGTAACAAGGTTCTGAACAGGACATGCTGCATTTTTAATGAAAGATATGCTGATTTACCAGCAATGACAAAAAAGAAATTTAGGAAGATTGAATCAAACTTGCGTTTTGGGAAAATTAACAGCAAGAATGTTGCCATTCAAAAATTGCTTATGTTAACCAAAAACAAATTATTAAATAAGACATTATTAATTAAATGTCATTTAATGAAATAATCATTTAATGTAAAATAGTTCTTATCAAAATGCCATATATTGAGCAAAAGGTTTTTATAATAAAATGTTATGGGGACGGTCATGTATCATTCGCTACGTCATGGAACAATTTAACGAACAATTTGTGGGAATCCCAATAACTCGGATGAAAATCTGCAAGATAATAATTAAGTTTCAAAGAACTGGTTAGGTTTTTAACGTCAAAAAGAAAAAGAAGAAATATGACCATAAGGATGCTGCCTGAATATGCTAGGGAAAAGATGTTTGAAAAAGAATGTACTAAGAGTTTTGCGGCGACTTTGTTGCCCTTACCTTTGAGGGTTTCCCTATGTTGGCTCACTCGCTTGCAGCAGGAACTAGCACCCTTGCATCAATTTTGTGTATCACTTATATGTACCATTAGTCCAAATTTGAGATCTCAGTTGTGTATAGTTGCGTACTGTCTTGGTCAAAGCTCTTTCACATACACACCCTTTTAAAATTGAATGTAGACTCTTCTCCCCCTCATCGAGTCTTTTTCCCCACCCTCGGTTAGAGGACAAGGACAACATGAAATTAAATCGCGGAACGCGCGGTGATTTAAATAAAAAATAAATTAAGAGAGAAACGCAAACACTGCCACAGATTTAGTTCTGCAGTCTGTTAGAGAAACTCCTGTGATGTCCCTTAGAAATCGTGCTAAACAGTTAGAAGTTGTGAAAAAAGTCATATTCAGAAGATTCCGTTCAAACCACAGTTTAACCAAACATTGAAAGAGGGAGATGAAGCGAAAAGACTAGATTTTTGTTTGTTGGTAGGAGACAAATTTTAAATGGAAATTTTGATTTTTATAAGTTTATTATGTTTTTTGAAGAATGTACATTTTCTACTAATGGAACCTGTCTTAATGGACAGCACGAAGACAATTAGCCAAAACTGAACGTGTGGTGCGCGATATTTGTCCACGGCATGATACGCCCATATTTATACAATAACACCTGCAATAGAATATCGTACTTAGAAATGCTTGATAGGTATATTTTTTAGCAATGAACTCGAAAATTTACCATTAAATTTTCGCCAAAAAAATGTATTTTCAACAGAATGGTTGTCCATCCCATTGTGCTCGTGAGATAATGGAATAGCTTAAGCATAGATTTGGTCCAAGATGGATTGGCAAAAATGGTCCAATTTTGTGGCCCCCAAGGAGCCCTGACTTAACCATAGCCGATATGTTTTTATAGGACCGTTTAAAACACATTGTTTATGGTACCAAATAATATTGAAATGCTAAACGGCAGAATTACCCAGGCTGTCCGTTCAATATCCAAGGAAGGAATCAGAAATTCTTTCAGATATCTAAGGGAGCAATTATAAAAATATGTTCAATAATTTTAGTTTTGTACTTTGTTCCCCGTATAAAAAATTAAATTTTTGATAGCGTGACTTATTCATTTTTCAAGCAAAAACTTTTATCATGAATGCCCTTTTTTCGTATCTTGCAAAATAAGGTTTACTCTTGCGCAAAATAATATTTTTGTGTTTTTGACCCACCCTGTACAACAAAATTAAAGTTCGTCATGGTGATTCGTATTTTCTAAACAAGCAAAAACTGTCATCAAAAATGCCTTTTTTTGATATTTTTCACTTTGGTCCATTTGTCCTCCTGTAAACTCAATCCACGGACATACTGTATAATCTTGAAATAAAAACTATAAAACTATTAGACAAAAATTTGAAATAAACTTTTCTCCATCGGAAGCAAAACAAAATGACTGCCCATCTTTATTTCAAAGTTATTCTTCAGTGGAAATTTTAGGTCAATTAAAATTTAATATTTCTAGATGTTATCTTTCATTTAATGAACCTTAATGAACCTTTCGATCCAGTTTAAATGCAAACTGGATCGAAACTCTACGATCTCTACTACCTACACATTGTCACAAGTTGTTTGCTAACACATGTCTGCAGATGTTTTGATACTTCCAATAATGCAGCCAAAGCTTACCGAACAAATAAAATCAACTAAATAGAAATGTTCACGATCTCTAGTATAACCCAGATCATTAGTTAAATAGTTCTTCATGGAAATTAAGAATAATTTAAATAAAGCTATGAGAATAATAGCGGTTTAACACAATGAAAGAAATTCATGAATTAGTTCATAAATGAATCCAGGAAGATATTGCACAGGTCTAGTTTATTATACCTAATTATACCCAGTAGGACCAAATTTGAATATTAATATTTATTTGTTACCAACTTCTAATAACTTCAATAATTTGCTACATTGATATGCTTTCTAATTATTTTATGACAAGAATGACATTGAGAATGATAAGGAAACGAGTGGGTCAGGAAAATAAGCTGGGAAATGACCATTTCGCGACTTTTTGTTGCGGAAAACTGAATTTATCACTGTAGATGCTAAATATTAGTTTCCACAGTCATAAAAATGATTGTTTACAGGGTAGTTAATTGTATAATTTTTACGTAAATTCACGTATTTCGCTTATAACTTTTTTCCGTTCATTTCCACGAGAAAACAGTAAAATACTTTTTTATTCGTCTTAAAAAGACATAAAAAACTAATTCAAAAGCCATAAATAAAATTATTCTGTTTATAACTTTTGATCTAATCAATATTTTTTGACGCTCGAGGGCTAGTTTTGTAGGTTTTTTGAAGATGAAAAAAAAGTATTTTAGTGTTTTCTCATGGAAATGAACGGAAAAAAGTTATAAGCGAAAAACGTGAATTTACGTAAAAATTATATAATTAACCACCCTGTAAACAATCTTCCCCCTATTTTTATGACTGCGGAAACTAATATGTTATTGTATATAATATTTAGCATCTATAGTGATAAATTCAGCTTGCCGAAACAAAAAGTTGCGTCCAACTCTATATTTCCTGGACTAGAACGCAAAATAATATGTGTAGATAATTTGTCTATTACACAACAATAAATTCAAGGTGAAAAAATGTATCAATTTTTCTAACTGTGTAAAACTACTATAACAGAAAAGACAATCTGAGCATTCCACACGAATTTTTGTAAATCTCTTATCAAATTCAGATTTTTTAGTTGAATGTAACTAAAGAAACTCCAGGAGCATACATGTGCATTGCCTACAATACTGTAGGAGACCTGGAAAAATATTTCAACGTGCAATTAGCGGAACACCCAGATATGCCTACAAACATTGAGTTAGTAAAAGCTGAAAACGATAAGTTGCAACTAAAAGTAGAGGTGCCAGACATACCATATAGAGCCAGAGACCCTGTTATGGATCCACAGTGGATAGTCTTGGAATATAAACCTGAATCGGAAAGTGAATGGTCCAGTATGGAATTTAATATCACAGGTAATTAATATTGTAATCATTTTCATATTTATTCAACGTTCGATTCATCATTATAAAGGTAGGAGCAACAAAATAACACATCAAAAACATTAGTAATTAACTAACATCTAGCATCTATTTTGTTCACAAATATTATTGGGCCAACATAATGTCGCAATGATTTCTTGGTTGGGAAAAGTTACTACATCGTTAATGCTGGAATCTTTAATTGTGACAGTGGGAGAACTGCCTTCCTTTTCCCTTCTGGGCTCCTTCTGGATCTTTTTCTTCAATGAATCTTCTTCTTTCATTGATTATATCACTGCCTTCTTTGTACTGATTCTTTATTCTTGTCTTTAGGGAGACTTTCTTTTTCCAGCTGAGAGCCTCTTCACTCTCCTTTTACATTTTTCCTCATATTTTTACGTTGTTCTACCGTTGCGAAACATAGTTCTTTAAAAATGTGAAAACTGTTTTGAGAGGTAGAAGTGAATGCTTTTTCTTGGATATTTCCTCATCCTCAGAATTTCCATGAAGCAAGAAGGTTGATTTCGCAGGCCAAAAAAATGTGACTGATCTTCATAACCACAAATCCGAATTCGGCCAGAATTGCTGCATCATATCAGGTTTTAGAGATATCCGAACGTAACAGTGCGGAAAACAGGGTTTCTTGCTATATTTGAAGTTATGTTTTTCCACAAACTGTCATCTGAAAGTATGGTTACTCCTCTTCTTCAAAATTCATTTTGAGTAGTTCGAATACCTTTCTTTTCTTTTCCGAGAATTCGTTTGTCGAAATTGACTTGTTTGGCAGAGATATTCGGAAATTTTATATTACTTATATTTTTATATTATATTATTAGGGCTGTATTAGAGGTTTTTGAGCTTGAAATTAGATCCCAAGGGCTTTGAGGTTGTAAAAGACCCCAAATGGATACTGCTTTCTTTAGTGTTATAAATTTTCTTTCTAACCGTATATACCTAGATTTTAGGTTTAGAGATTGTAGGTTCAACATTAGTTAATAATTGTAGAATACCGATGTGTTTTTCTGAGTGTTTCTGGATGACATCTCGTTGATAATTCGAAAATTCAAAGCGATTTTTCACTACCCTTTCGCCAGTATGGCGCCATTCATGGCATCCATATCGGACTTCATCAATATTCCACTACGCATTACAAAGTGTATGACATATGGAAGATTTTGAGCCGTCAAGTGTCTTTGTATGTTTCTTCAATTTTTAGACAGAGCTGATAGTCCAGTCGGGTCGTCATTTAACCGGAAAAAAATTAGGGACCACAATTTTATTGTTCTAACCTTTAGGGGGGGGGGGGTCAATAGTAGTGTAAATTCAGAATCGCGACTGAATTCCACCCCTGCATCAGCCGCCATCTTGAATTTAAGGAAAAATTGTTTTTGCTCAATATCTCGGCCATTTTCAACTTTGCAACAAAAATGGTAAGGACTAAAGTTGTTGCAAATGCGATTTCCTACAACTTCTTTATTTACAAATTTTATTGTGCGATCGATATTTTTCAAATTAATGGGGAAAATATTGACGAAGTATAATTATGGAATTATCTCGTTTGTTATTGACTTTACGACATAAATGTACATAAACAAGGTTGGAAATAATTATATTTTCTACAATTTTGATCGCTTTGATTTTTTCGCTATAACCAATATTTAAGGTCCTACGCTTGCGGTAAAGACGCGAGCGTAGGACCTTGCGGGAGCTGGTTTCAAAGGAATTGTTTTTACTCAATATCTTGGCCATTTTCAACTTTACAACAAAAATGGTAAGGACTTAAGTTGTTGCAAATGCGATTTTCTACAACATCTTTACAAATTTTATCGTGCGATCGATATTTTTCAAGTTAAGGGGGAAAATAGTGACAAAGTATAATTATTGAATTATCTCGTTTGTTATTGACTGATTTTTTCGCTAGTACCAACATTTAAGGTCCTACACTTGCGGTAAAAGCGCAGAGCAATATGAAAATCGTTTTTGCAAACTCTTTCATACCACCACCGGGGTAGAGTTTCAGGCGCGTTTTTTTACGTGGTATCCCCAATAGGCCTAATCCACGTGTCATTGTTTGCAAGATAGTTGCGACTTCTGCCGTCGATCTTCCTCTTTATAAAAGTTTCTTGCAAGCGTTAAAGGTGTAAGCCATGTTTTTTAAAATTTATTTTTTCTTATAAAGTTTGGACCATTCTTGTTCATGGCCAGCTGCCGGTGACGTCAGGCTTATGGAATGTTGATCCCTTGAGTTTAGTAAGGCTTGCCATAGGCGTAGGACCTTAAATGTTGGTAGTAGCGAAAAAATTAAAGAGATAAAAATTGTAGAAAATATAATTCATTCCAACTTTGTTTGTATACATTTATGTCGTAAAGTTAATAACAAACGAGATAATTCAATAATTATACTTTGTCACTATTTTCCCCCTTAACTTGAAAAATATCGATCGCACGATAAAATTTGTAATTAAAGAAGTTGTAGGAAATCGTATTTGCAACATCTTTAGTCCTTATCATTTTTGTTGTAAAGTTGAAAATAGCCGAGATATTGAGCAAAAACGATTTTTCCTTAAATTCACGATGGCGGCTGATGCAGGGGTGAAATTCAGTCGCGATTCTGAATTTACACTACTATTGACCCCCTCCCCTAAAGGCTAGAACAATAAAATTGTGGTCCCTAATTTTTTCCCGGTTAAGCCCTTTTTTTGTCTAACCCGACTGGATTATGACGTAAATGTGACATGGAACATCTGTTGGTGTGTGTTTATGAAATAAGTGGGTTTCTTGAAATCATTACGTTTTAAATTTAGAAAAAAATCCACGTGAGGACTTAAACAAATTTAAAACCGTCCCTGATGCGGCAGCCAGCTGTACTCCAAGCTGCCGCGTGCCACAGTGCGAAAGCGCTAATGGCGGTTTTGACTGTTAAAATTTTGTGTTCGAAAATGCTGAAATTTATTCAAATTTCATTTAAAAGTAACACAAAAATTAAAAGAATAAACGAATTGTTTACCAATAAACGATATGCTCTACAAAAATTGTTCAAAGTTGTTTCCATGTGCTAATAAACATGCTTCCAAACGACGCGCGACGGTCAAAATGCTGTTACCAATAACACTACACCACACACTGAAAACCGTTGCTTGAAACAAGATTTCTTACAACGCAACGTGAGGATTTGCATCACACCATCTAGTAAAACAACATTCGTCCGTAAAACGCGTCTTGCTTGTAAAATCTGGATCTTGTTTTATTTGATGTCGAAACTACTGACAAAATTCCACACGGGGCTGAAAATCATTATTATTTAATGCCTGAACCCTTTATTCATGATAGGGGTGTAATAATTGTTCCCGTAGTACACGCCACACAGTGTTACTAGTTTTATACGCCTGCTAAGTAGTACTGCAACACACAATGCACGTGCATAGGATGCACAGGGTCGGCTCACATTTATGGTTAATTTTCTTAATTAATTTTCTCGAAAACAGGAGCATGTGGACCATCAGTTGCTTAATAAAAGTTGCCCATTTTAGTTCCCTTTATCATCCGTTTCAAGGAACGTACTTATTTCATAAACACCCTGTATATATAAAAAATTTAAATATTGTTTGTTACAGATTCTATAATTTTGATTGGCCTTTCCAAGAATACCAAATACAGAATACAAGCAGCTACTAGAAATGCAGCTGGTTTAAGTCAATATTACCAAACAATGTTTGAGACGTCAGCAGCCATAAGTGTTCACACTAAATTGTCAGCTGTAATATATTCCCCATTTATACTTATTTCCTTTTTCTCCTTGTTTTGGATAGCTTGAGTATTTTTTTAAATTTTTTTTAAGTATTTAGATAGGATAAATAAAAAATGTACAAGTTGTAAGACTATCATAAATCTACTTTTCTGGCAATATGGCAATAATCGTATACGTATAAATGTAAAAGTTTGTAAATAATATAGATCGTGGATGAGTGTGAAAATTAATAAAAATATGTAATATAACTACGACTTATTCATGGTCGTTAAAAACCAAGATTAGTTAATATTATTTTGATACAATAATAAAAGCACATACCTGAAACCGACGTACAGATATACGAAAAATATTTTTTAAAATCGAAAATACTTTTTGACTTTAACACCCTGTAAAACGAAAAGGAGGAAAGATTCAGATGAGATATATTCAGTTCAGTTGTCATAATATGACGTTAGCAATATTTTCTTAAGGTATGCGCTTTTATTAGTGAATCATCCTGTGTAATACCAGAAAATAAACCGGTTTAGTTATGTAGGTATATTATTTTCCCGAGGCCGCATAGGATTTTACTCTAGTAATACTTCACTAATAACTATAACTACTGCAAAACCTAAAATGCAAAATGTATGTCATAAATAGCTTTTTTTATGTAACTTAGTTATATCTTACAATTAGTATTACGCAAAAAATTAATCAATGTAAATTTTATTAAAATAAAAAGAGTTATTTAAGTGGCTTTAGATTTTTATACCTATCTAATAAGTCCACTTTCAGAGGCAAAGGAATTTAATCAAAATTTTCATTGTAGTGTGGGGTATTCGTTTTCCATCAAATAAATATCACACCAACAAGTAGCGCTCTAACTCTTTATTAGGTAACTGATTGACAAAAATGTAACAAGAAGTACTGGGCTACGACCGCTCAATATGCTTGTAACATTCACTATCTGTTTAGAGTGAATATCACAATTTATTTTAACTAAAAGTCAACTATCAAACAATTTCTTGAGACCTTAGCATCTAATTTAACTTTGTAATTACCATTAGTTAGTTTTGTTTCCACCTGTATATTCAACCTATATTGTTGTTACATCTATTAAATCTTTGTCAAACCCTGCAATTAGTTATAAAACACCAATGTATTAAACTGTATGCAATAATTGTTTACTATTTACCTGTATAAACATGGAGAAACTTTGTTGTACGAATTGTAATCGTTCTGTGAATATGTAATTTTAACTGTACTACCTTTTACTTATATTATTTTCTTTTAATATTGTTGTTTGTAAATCGAATCTGGGGATCAACAATTGAGTTAGGTACTTGGTTGTCATGCATTGGAGGTTATTGCATTTCTGTTACAATAGACCTAAGACACACAGTGTGAAGTTGATAATGTGTGGTGGATCATAAGAGTAGTAGAAGACGTTCGCGGTGATTGAATAGCAGTTGCTAGTCAGGAAATGTATTGTGTTCAACCGACCAATCACATTGATTGAGTAGTTTTTTTGTAGAATAAATTCAATAAAACCGTCGGAGCGGCAGAATTCTTCATAAAAGACATAAAGTTTGGTATTTGAGAAAGCAGGTATATTCCCTGGCCTACAGTAACCACGTTACTCAGTAGTTTGACTTCATCTCTCATTGCGGGAAATATCCAGGCTCTATAAACAGAATATATTAAACCCTGTAATCGCCCAACCCCTAACCCCATAACCATATAATCCCATAACTCCAATATCCACATTATGCAGTAGTTTGATGCAAGGAACATAGTCTATATCGTTATTGGCTCTCAATTTCATCATCTCCAGTAGATTCTTCGTCAATTTCAAAAATATTATGCCACATGAAGCTCTATGAATCAGGTATGAATCAGACTTGGCCAGTCTTGAGGAGCTGTTATTACTATATACTTGTATTTTTTTGTGTGTACATAGTAGCCAAGCTTGCGGTCAGTAAATGCTTTCCGCATGCCGTATGCAAGTAAAACTCCAAATAAACGCATCTCTTTGACCTATATTTCCTTCCAAATCTACTGATTTGCTTTTTATAACGAAACGTTCCTTATGACCGAATGCATAATTGAGTGTCCCTGCCTTACTATGAAAATGTTTTACCAAACGTTCAGCTGCTAATAATTTTGACTATTTTGAAATATTGTCTGATTAACTAAATATAAACTTGCTCAATTGAAACATGGAGTGTGCACTTGTTCAAAAGAAAAATTAAGTAAGTCCCTTGCTCACCTGACTTGTTTTTCCTTCCAACTCAACATAAAGCGACCTTAATCGTTTTGACTTCAAGTAAAGTAGTGCTTGACATCAAGGAAAAATTATTTAGGGACAGATCAACCCACTACCAAATGCTGATGTAGAATATTTTTGTAAATGTAGTATGTAATATTTGTGATCTAGAGGTAAACACTACGCTCATATAGTTCTGATAACTATAGGGGCGGTTTAATGCACTTCACTAGAGCTTATATCTAACACTTGTGACAGGGCTGGCTAATGGCCCGTGATTTGAGTCTGCCGCGGGTCAGAAATAAATGCCCGGGCGACGTTTTACCTTTCTTTTATAGATAAGAGGTAGGTTAGGTTATATATATATATATATTAACATAAATCTGACTCTAACAATAGGTTAAATGTGTGCGAAAGGCTGTAATAATGACTGTAGAGGCTTTAATGTCGCAACTAAAATTTGGAGCGTCCCACACAGAGACTGGCCGGATACGTCGATCCGGTTAAATAACTGCAAATGCCTGCAGTTGACGGTCCATCTCGGTAGGTGATTCGCGGCCTTGATCCGCGGTTGATTCCCGGGTTTTTTCTACGAATTTTCTCCCTCTTCTTGACCGGTGCTTCCCTGCAAGGCCGGGGACCATTGGAAAGTGGGTCGAATTCTTGACTCCCTGGAAGGTGGCTGCTGGCGCGTTGTCGGCTTCGCATCGGTCGTCCTCGATGTGGCCTAACTCGTCTCCATCACCAGAGGGCGCATTTTTGATGATTTGCGGCTTCTCGCAGGTGGATTGGAAACATCGGTGATTTTCGTTATTTGGCTTGTTTGGCTCAACTGCGGCTCTGCGATGCTGGAAATCTGAAACATAGGTGTTTTTGTTTGTTTTCCTTGGATACTGCTGCTTCTTGGTTCGAGGCGGCTGGATAGTAGCCGGATTCGAAACCTTGTCGATTTCTTCCGTCTTCGCCCTGGTATTGATATCGGCTTGGCGAATGGAAGCTTTGTGTAAATTATGGCTTAGGACTTGGTTTGTGTTACTGGATATCGGACTTAGGACGTTGTCCGGGATTCTTGGATTCGGATTGGAAACTTGGGTGAAAATCTTACTTTCCGTCCTGACAGCGACTTCGGCTTCAGGATTCGAAACATTGCGTAAGTTAATGCTTTGCCTTCGATTTCCTATGTTGGAAATCGGGCTTGGAGCTCTGTGCTGGATTTTGAGGTTTGGATTGGAAACATGGGTGAAAGTTTTACTTTTTCCCCTGACAGCGGCTTCGGCTTCAGAGTTGGAAACATTATGCAATGTAGTGCTTGTGCTTTGATTTCCTATGTTGGAAATCGGGTTTGGAGCTTGATGCTGGACTTTGAGGTATGGATTGGAAACATAGGTGAAATCTTTTCTTTTGCTCCTGATAGCGGTTTTGGTTTCCGGGTTGGAAACATTATGTGAATTGTGACTTTTAATCCGATTTTGCGTTATAGGAATGGTAGCGCAGTGGCTGGTTGTGGACTTGGTCTCTGGATTGTAAACCTCGTCGAAAATGTTACTTTCGCCATTGTCGACGACTTCGGGCTCGGGTTTGGAAACCTTGTGGAATTTATCATCTATAGCTTCGCTTGCTGCCTGGACATCCTGCGCTGGAGCGTCTTCCCGGGCGTTGGAACTTGGATTCGAAAGATAGTCGAAATCTGAAGTTCGCTCGTTCAGATTATACGACAAACGAACAGTGCACACACTTTTCAGTGGTCAAAATCTTCTGCCAAAATGCGATAAATTGATGCTTTTGAGATGCTCAATTCCAATTTCACGAATTTCAATTAATATTTTGGCTGGTCTTTAATTAATTCACGCATAGTTTTGCTGGAATCTGCGATGATCACGAATTTAGGTTGGATAACATGTTCCTCATCATTTTTATCCTCGCGACCGTTTTTAAACCGCGTATACCATTCATGAACAACTTTATCGCGATATTAACAATCATCACCATAAACATATGTTCATATGCTCATTTTTGTAGCGATGACATAAACATGCTGTCAGTTCAGACGCAATAACTCTGCTTCTATTCGTCCAAATGTCATGAAATTTTGACAGTACATCAGTGAGTGATACCCCACTAGAAATACCTGTTTTTGAAAGGTCATATTTACTTTGGAACGCTCCTGTAGTTCACACATTCCTGACAATTTTGATTATTTGTATTTCTAACATCATTTAATATTTTTTTATCATTGTGCATAATTCAATGCAATTCTTTATTAAAAAAAAGTGGATAATAGAAAAGAAATAAATGAAGTTTCCCATTACATCTAATGCAATATCAGTCATATAAAAATTGCACAGGGTGTGCAATTTAATATAAACCCTGTGTACTGTGAGCTTTCTACATTGGGCTATATCTGTCATTTTAATCATCAGTAACATGTTTACAAATTCCTGCGGTGTGTTTCAACTTAACCACTCTTTGATCTAGGTCTCTATGGCAAAGTCTTCTTAGATTATCGACGTTTTTTATCCAGATATTCGTCATAGTACCTCATTCCTAATAAAACCCAGTACTCTGAAAAATTCTTTATTTTCAACAATGATAAATTAACAGTGACTACATAAAATTAACACATATCTCAATATAATTAGGAAAACAAAATAACACACATTATCTTATAAACACTTTGTCAATTTTTATTTATGTATATAACGAATGACAATTACAGTTTTATAAAAAAATGTGTCTTTTACTACAGGATAAAATATATTTTTATAACAATTCAAAAAATAACAAACTATATTTCTATATAATAATGGTCCATGTCTAAAAATCGACTATCTTGACTGTTGCTTGCTAATTTATTTTAGTTCAAGCAACATCATCAGCAATTTTCAAAGATGAACCATATTAGTACATTATATTTAGGAATGCTGAACTGTATACAGAAGTAAAACGGCATGTTGTGTTTCAACAGGCTGTATATTATTTGGCGTTTTTATCACACTCTCTCCCATTTCTAACGAAATTAAATGAAGATTGTTGAAATTTTTTACACATTTAATGATTTAGGTATTTTTTTAGTATAGAGCACATATCCATTTTACAAGCTAAACCATGCCTTCTCCCTTTTCCAGTGAAATTTAAAAAATATGTACGCAATATGTACTTGTATTTAAAAATATAGAATATATAAAAAATGCTAAGCAATATATCAATACTAGGGTGCATCGTTTAAAACGTACATTTTTTTTACACTCCATTGACGAAATATTGTTCTAAAGATTTGGAAAAAAATTCTCACCAAATTTCAGGTCTTAATTTTAATTTTAAGTACTCACTATTTGATTTTAAAATTTTCCTATTTATTTAACATGTAAACGTTCTTTTTTCTTTAATTTTCTATATCTCACCTGCATTTCACGTTATTTTATTGTCAATAGGCGGTAATTATAGAGGAATCTTTGTCTTTGAAACTAGCCTTAGTAGGATCTATGCGACTTGAA